AACTGAACAAAGTTTGTATTGTACGTTGCCAGTTTCAGATCATGTACATCCACTCTCTTCCTTTCTTCGATTACTTCATTGCTGAAGCCAGCAAGGTAATTTCGGATTTTTTCACCGTAATTATCGAAAGCAATCTTGAAATCTAACTTTATTTGCGATATAACTTCATCCACATATTGTTTGTTTGCAACATCAGCGACATCTGTTGGCAGTTTTACGTTACACATCTTCAAATGACCAACATCAATATCACCGGTTGGAGTATGTGAAAATCCAGATCTGACTGTCACCATCTGAGCTGAGCGTGGAAACGAACCACGTCCGAATTTGTCGAGACTCATTATGCTAATGACTAAAGTATTGTACGTTATCGATAATGGTAGACACTTTGCCTCGCCAATTATTAGCCCCTTCACTCATAGACATGCCATGAAAGTGTTACGGAACTGTCAAGGAAGTGTCACGGAACTGTCACGGAAGTGTCAAGGAAGTGTCACGGAACTGTCACGGAACTGTCACGGAAGTGTCAAGGAAGTGTCACGGAACTGTCACGGAACACGGAAATGTCACCGAATCGTCACACATGTTTTATTATGCCTGCCTCTTCTAATTCGTTCAAGATGGCAACAATCTCGTTATCGTTTGATGTATTTCCGGCTTGCTGTGATGCAATGAGCAACTTCAATCTATCTACCAATTCGTTTGGATCATCCCAATACATGTATTCGATAGGTGCTGTGTTGTATGTCAACTTCAAACCACGACCACTGGAATTGGATCTGAACATTGGACGAATAATTTCTACGTATTTGAGTCTAGAGGAGGACTTCATACGTCCTGCAGAATTCAGATGAGCTTTGGTGAGCAAGAGTATTTGCTTGTATGGGTTCGTATCATCTTTGGCAAAGGATGGATCATTATAGAAGAGTAATTGATAGAGGCCTGGGGTGCCACGGAACCGAAAGCCATCAAGAAGTATATCTCCAGTTCTTCGATGGAAATTCATTTCTTTTCCGTTGAGAGACCATTTCGATGTTACTGGATCATATTTGGGACCATAAACCGTATCGATATTTTCATCATTTGTCCAGTATTCAGTCAGATATTTTTGAGCCATCGCAGGATACTGATCAACGTAATCATGTATTGCAGCCGGTGAGATATTTTCACTATCTACAAAAAGTTCATCATCAGCATCATCATAACCATCCTCATCATCATCTTCAGTATGCCCAGCATTATCAGCCACATCCATCATAGGTATGAAATTAGTTTGATTCAAATCCGATTGCTCCCTCTCAACCTCCCCATCCTCTTCCTCCTTCTTCTCCTTCTTCAACCCCAACGACTTTGCTCTGCTTCGCTTGATGTTTGAAAGTGTTCCATCGAGTTTTTCTTCTATGACCTTGGACGCGGAGGCAATTTGTTTCAAAGGTGATGTCAGTGGTTGGAATATTTTCTGTAACGCATCATCATCCTCAGACTTGCCCAATTTTAGTGCTAAATATTTTCTTCTGATTGATTTCGATAGTTCGTTGATTTTTTTCTTGCGCAGCGCATCAGCAACATCATCATGCATCTTGGTTGACGTCATCTTGATGAATGGTCCAGAGATCACAGTCTTATGAACTTATCGAAACCATTTCTATATCTGCCAGCATTCATATCGAAAGTTTTTGCAATCACCATCGCACCATATTGGTTGGAATTCCAACACTCTGAGCACAATGCTTTAAATTGATCGAATGACATGTCTGGTGAGACATGCTCGTCGAACACATGCTTCAAATTCATTTCATCCTGTCGAAATAACACCAACAGGTTACTGTTGTCTCGCACCAGCTGCTTCGGTATCTTAGAAAAAGTCTGGCATAGGTATGCTACGTCAATATCCTTGTGTCTACACATTGAAAAATATTCTCGAATTTTTTGCTGCTTGTCGCATGATACATCATCAAAAATGAATATCGAATTATTTTTCGCTTCTGATGGACTGATGACATCATCATTTTCTTTAAAGGGAAAATACCCAACACCTTTCACTGAATCCAACACTTGTTGCAGCAATTGATATTTCGGTTGGTACAACGACTTTGAATACACGTAAACGTTCTTGAATTTCGCGCCATTTGGATTGAACAGCAGGGAAAGCATCGCATTGGTCTTTCCACATCCGCTTGGTCCGCAGAAGATTGCTCTGAACGAATGGGGAAGCAGTTTCCCATGTTTACTATTTACTGGGGGTTTGGTTGACAAAATTTCATCCAAATTCACAATGGGTAACATCCGTTCTTGTTGAATGATCTTCATCATGTGATGATATATTTTTCATTTCATTAGGTATATGCAGAGTTGTCGAACTTCCTACACGTCAGTCTTCATGTTGCTCTACCACGGAGAGGGTGTGCTTAATTCTCTGATCGATAAACTTCCCATCGAATTACACATTCCAGGCTACAGATTTTGTGGTCCAGGTACCAAACTCGATAAAAGACTTGCACGAGGAGACACCGGTATCAATCCGTTGGACGACGCGTGTCGAGTACACGATATCGCCTATTCACAAAATTCCTCAATAGAAGACAGACACAAAGCTGATTGGATATTGGAAAATAGAGCGTGGGAGAGAGTCAAGTCGAAGAACGCTAAATTCAAAGAGAAGGCTGCTGCTTGGCTTGTCACCACCGGAATGAAGGTCAAACGAGAACTCGGTCTTGTATCACAGCAATCCCTATCCAACATTATCAAATTCATAAAAAATGTACTATCAAAGTCAGATGGTGGTGGTGGTGGTGGTGGTAGTGCAACATCAGGAAGTGGTCTGAATAAATCTGCATTGAAAGCACTCCGTGCAGCCAGAATGGCAATCAAGAGGGCTGGCGGTAAAAAAAGAATCAGAGTACCAAGAATCATACCTCTTCCACACAGTGGCGGTATACTACCATTGATACCAATCTTTGCCGCCTTGGGAGCCCTAGGATCTCTAGCTGGAGGAGCCGGAGCAGTCGCAAAGACAGTCATTGATGCGAAAAATGCAAAGAAAAAGCTCGAAGAAGATCAAAGACATAATAAAGCAATGGAGGCTATCGGCAAGCAGGGTTCCGGCCTATTTCTACGCAAAACATCGAGAGGATTCGGACTGTACTTGAAGAAACAATCAAAAAACTCAAAAAACTTCTAGACAAGCTACCCAATAAATCAATGTACGATAAAGATGTGATAAAGTATGCCAAACAGCTGAAAATACCGTATTTTCGAGGTGTTTTTATGCGGGACACTCTACCTTCCACCGGTCCATGGCATCGCGAGTGTGCTGTATTGAATTTGGATACCTCCAATCATGCGGGCACTCATTGGGTGGCTTACATAAAAAATGATAAAAAAGCCTTATATTTCGATAGTTATGGTAATCTGAAACCGCCCAGAGAATTGGCGCAATATTTGGGTGCCAGCACGAAAATCTTGTACAATAACAATCAATACCAGAATTTCAATCAAAGTAATTGTGGACGTCTATGTTTAGAATTCCTTTTTAATGAGACCAAGTAACTCGGTCATTATGCATCAGTCATGTCTCTGATTGTGACGTTGAAAGGTCGTACATCTACGCTCTCCATAGACTTTTTGACACCACTCCAACTCGATCCAGACTCTGATTACGGACTAGCATTGTTGGGATTCCATTCATACAACAGTATACCGAATATCGACAAAGGATCAAAGTTTTATCTGCAAGATAAGACCAAGGCGGGAAAGATCATCGATATTCCCGAAGGTTCATACGACATTGTGGACATTGAGAAATTCATACGCAAAGAATTGGGCATCTCAAGTGCAAAGGACGTTGATGATATATTCTCGTTGAAGCCCAACAATAATACACTAAAGTGTGAGATTTCGAGCAAACAGTTTGCCATTGATTTTCGCCCGAAGGATAGCATAGCTCAAGTCTTGGGATTTTCAAATAGATTGTTGAACGCACAACAAGTCCACACTTCCGATTTGCCGGTCAGCATAACCAAAGTGAGAACCATTCACATTGATAGCAACGTTACTGCTGGAGCTCTCTACAACGACAGACCATCACATACGATCTACGAGTTTGCAGTTGCAGTCGATCCTGGTTACGCCATAGACGAGACTCCCAGAAATCTAATCTATCTACCTATAGTCAGCAGGCGAGAATTGCCCAACATTACACTCCAGATTCTAGACCAAGATTTCAGGCAGGTGAATTTTAGAGGTGAAGAAATCATAATAAGATTGGAATTGAAGAAACTCGCAAGATGGTACTAGTGTTTCATTACTCCTATAAATCAGATAATATACCATCATCAGCAACATCATCAGCACCAGTTCTCTCGACACCGTACACCAAAGCAGTCGTGTCTTCGAAGAGCAGCAGCAGCCGCAACAGAAAAACATTGACATTATCCAGTGTCCTGTTTCTGAAATCACTCAAAGACTACAATGTTGTTAGCACCCGTGTTCGACGTTTTCCGCAAACCCAGATTCGACGAAAGCATCACTAAAGTGGAATGGCGTACCTATTATCCATATGTGAAATCATTCGAGAACAATGATGTCATCGATATAACGGTTAATCAAGCAGATTCGTGGTTGGCCATGTTTGAAGGCATCATTACCATCAAGGGTAAATTGAAGGTGACCGGTGGTGGTACTGGTACATTAACCCACAATGCTGGCGCATATCTCTTTGATTCCTGCACCTATGAATTGTGTAATAAAGAATTGGACACTGTCAGATATCCTGGAATAACGAGTACTGTGCGAGGATACTTGTGTTATACGCCTGAAGACTCACGTCATCTAGCCATAGCAGGCTGGAACTATCCCAATGCTCCGATCCTCAACACCGATGGTACGTTTAGCATGAACATTCCACTGAAACATTTGTTTTCCATCTTCAATGATCATCAAGTGGCAACGTGGGGCAAGCAATCAATCCGTTTAGTGAGAGCTCGCAATGATGCCAACAGTGTGAAGGTTGTCGAGAGAGCGAATACTGCTTTGCCAGGATCTCCTCAGACTCAGAGTATTGCTAAAATAACGATAGAAAGCATTAATTTGAAAGTGCCACATCTCACACCCAACGATGACATAAAGTTGCAGTTGTTGACACGTATCAAAGCAGATGAGTCTATGATGATACCGTTTCGCCGATGGGAATTGCACGAGCTACCAGCACTCACACAAGGATCTACCATAGAAATCTGGTCCGTCAAGACATGTTCTGCATTGGACAGTCCAAGATATGTTATAGTATTTTTCCAAACGAAAAAAGCCGATAATTTGCATGAAGACGTCACCTTGTTCGATAATGCCAACATCAAATCCATACGATTGGCTCTGAATAGCGACTATTATCCGCAAGAACGAATGCTATTGGACTTTTCCCGAGACCAATATGCTGACGCTCACTTCAACTATACAGAGTTCAACAAGAGCTACCATAACTGTCAAGAAAAGCGCTCTCTAGTAAACTTTGCCGAAATCAAATCCCGACCAATGTTTGTTATCGATTGCTCGAGGCGCCATCTGGGTCTAAAGTCGTCCACAGTTGACATAAAGTTGGACATTGAAGCGACTACAGGCTTCCCTCCCGACACCAAAGCCTATTGCATCATCATTCACGATCAAATCATGGAACATCTCCCACTCAGCGAAATTGTTCGAAATATTGCCTAGGTGGGTGTTGCTGCATCAGTCAGACGTCAGTTTACTTCGAAGAGTCATGGAGATCGCACTGGTTGACATTCAAGGGTTCATGGTTGATGATGAATTCATTCCAAAGGAAATGACCATTCGCATTGGCAAAAAGACGAGTCATTTTCTATTCAAGCCATCTGTAGAATTTTCGAGTTTAAGCAGAGAAGATAAAAAGATGGCAAATCATGTGGAGCGTTACGTTCACGGTTTAAAATATTCCAGTGGTTATGTGGATTTGAATGAGTTGGATCAAATACTACGAGATAACCTGCAGCAGACAAACATCATCTACGTAAGAGGACACCAAAAGATTCAGTTCTTGCAGCGAAAATGTGCAGAGTTGGAGATGACCAATCACATTATTAATTTGGAAGATTTTGACAATTCTTGGTGGCAACCAATAACGTTTCAACAATCCATTCCACCTTGCATGCATCATTTCCATGGAGGAAGGTTCCAGTGCAGTCTCCACAATGTCGATACTTTATATAATTGGTTATGTAATTTATTGCCAAAATAAAAAACTATATATCGTAATTTCAGAGTTTTTATTCATCACATCCCTTATTTCTCAGTATAATGAAAATAACATGTGAGATTAAAATGAGTGAACATATTAGTGTACAACAAAGTGTCAAAATTGCAATGATATTGACAGAATCTTGATCATCATCTAATTTTGTGGGTGATTTCTTCAATGTAAATGTCTGCCAGTCCCCAGTTTCACCGTCACTGCCATCAGAAAACGATAATTTCAATTTGTAGTCGATGGTGGTCCCATTGACTCGGGGCATGTCGATTGAATATACAGGTAGTTTGTTATCATTGGCATACATTCTACGCATCAGCTTCCAATCACACTGTTGTGTACGATTCACATCAAAACATACGGCTGCATTCCTCGTATTGTACGGTATGTTTGTGTAAAAGACGTTGTTGCTCAGAGCTGTCAATAGAATGATGCTTGCTTTCAGTATCGCCATCTAGCTGTGTTGGTCGGATTCTTCTCGATGTAGGTGCAACTGAACGTCTTGGTTCTGTGAACACCTTGTCCCAAACACTCAATTGCTCGAAATCTTTGAACAAACAAACTTTCTGCTCATACAATTGGATGTCTGCACTGAGCTTTCTAACTTTCAACCCAAATTCTTCTAGTGCACGTCTGTATTCGTCAGAAGACATGATACAACTGTTTTTTACATCCATACCTTCAACTAATATCCATCCAATCTCTCTCTCTCTCCCTTTCTCTCTCTCTTACTCTCACTTCTTCTTCTCTTTTTTCTCTCTCTCTTTCTCGTACACATCATCCAGACAAGGGTGTGGGAAAAGAATACACAGAAAAGTCTAATAATTGTAAAAGTGTATAATATTATAAATGTAAAAAGGAATAATAAAAATGAAAAAAAAGTTTATACAATAAAATATGAATATTAGGAATAATTAGATAATACTAAAATAATTGAAAATATACATATATACAACATGAATTATTGGATGAATAAAAGAAGTTACATTTTTTTCATGGGAAAATAAGTCATCAATACAACAGCGTTGGTTTGAAAATTTTGATGCAAAAATACTAAGGAGAAAATCAATCCGTCAAACTGTAGTGACCCCACGGAAGTGTGTCAAATGAATCGTGAATCAGTTTCCGCTTATCATCTTTGGGACTCAGGCCAATTTTTGTTTGTTCGATGGAAAAAACATCGTGAGCGTAGGAACGAATCGTTTGCTGGGCTACGGTCTTTTCTTTCCAAGCCGTCAGACAATCCACATAGTCATCAAAAGTCAACTTATTTTTGACGACGCATTTCTTGACACCCTTGGATTTTTTAGTTATACCAAAATTTTCCAATTCCCTATCTAGTCGTTCTTTACTGAATCCCTTTCTTTCCAATCGCTTTCTCTCTTTTTCAATATCCTCATCCGTTATATCCAATTTATAACTGTACATCTTGGACCGTAGTCCAGCAAAATGCGTAATAATCTTACCGTTTGCCTCATCCTTTAATAGGCCCAAGACTTTTTTATTTACTCGAGGTATACCATAAATATTGTCTGGAGTATAGTCAGACGTGTCAAATCTCTCGATATTTGCATCAATCACCTCACTATACGCATCGTCACATACAATTTCGTAGATGAAGCTGTCCGTATCGGTATACATGAGTTTTACGTCAGCTCCAAGCTTTGGTAGCATGAAATTGTAGTGGAAATCATACATGACGATTTTCGATAAATCAAGAATAGCCATACCAATGTATAGGGGCTTGTTGAAAATCAGCTCTGCTTTTTTCAACTCTACTGCTACCAAATTGTCGTCGAAAACTGTCCGCTGTTGAAACCGAGGACTTGAAATTAAATTTTTTATGCCATAGCGGCCTTCATACATTCTGACTAACTTTACTGTTCTATGATTACGAATATTCTCCATAGTCTTCCCAAACACCGCATTATTGGCTAATTTCCTTAAATCTTTTTCAAAATCGTTTGTGGCTAGAGTCCTCAATCGAGTATTCAACTCGATGTAGGGCTTTAGCCACGTGGATTGTTTGAACTTTAATACTTTATGAATCTTGGTTAATTTCAGACCGTGTTCTAATGCCTGCTTCAAATTTCTGTAATGTAAAGTATATGACTTTTTATCGTACAGCGTGGTCATTAATTTGGATAATTTTGAATTTGGTGGTGTGCGGTGTTCGGGACAAAATGGTAGGTCCTTGTGTAGGTCATGCAACCCCTCAGGATACTCCAAATCAACTTGGAGAATATAGCCTTCTGGACTGTTGTCAGGAATTTGGGTTACATCAATGTCAACATTTTCTACCCATGTAAAGCCCCCATAAGGGAGGGGTTCACTCATTGCTTTTCCATACATCGAGATAAAGAAGGTACTTTGACGGCTTTTTTGGATCGTAATTTTTCTGGTACTTATTGTTTGCTTCACTATACCTATTGCAACAAACCGATACTCCTCCTCTTATCGCCTGCTCCACAAACATCACCATGTCGATGTCTTTGATGATTTGCAGCTTGCATCCAGTATACTTGAGCATGCAGTCCCAAGTATAGCCGGGCATGGTGTAATACCAAGCAGGATCGAGGCCATAGGTCTTGAGGGATGACGCACGGAAATTTTCCATGACGTCAGCAAGAAGAAGAATATCGGTCCGCATATATAGGTCGCTATATTCTCCCAGCGATTTCAGCTCGAAAGATTCCCAAACTTTTCGCGCGTGCGCGTAATCGTCGTCCGAAATATTTGTATCGTTCAATTTGTTATAGAAATTTTGAATACTTGGTAACTCGGATTCATCCAATCTTTCTACATTATCGACATAGTCATATGGAAATACTCCTTTTCGTGTCAACAATTCAAATTTCGTCTCATTTACGTCACTGAATTCTTTCTTTAGAATTTTCAAATCATTAACTTTCAGCGTTGACACTAAAGCATCGAGACTGGTTCCCAAAAAGCGGAAAGAGTCGATGAATCGGAATTTTATGCTTGTTTCATCATCATGTTGTGTAAAGGAAATGTATTTTTCACGATTAACCGGGAGTACGCTCACACGTCCCCGCTTGGAAATGTCTCTGATTATAAAATGTGAATCATATCCTGAGAGGTTGTGGAACGTAATGGGGACAACGAACAGTTTCCTAAAGTTGAGATTACAGGGAGCCTGGTGTGCGAAGCCTCTGAATGCGCCAGTAAAATGGTCGTGGTCGCGTACGATAACGTCTTTTGCCTTGAATTTCTCTTCGCAAATGTGGCAGATGGTTGCGCCGCTGGTACTAGCCGGTTTGACTACCATTGGAACGATATTTTTCAATTTGGATTCGACAAATTTGGCAATTTTAGACATTTCGCAGGCAAACCAGTCCATGCAATCTCCACCCCTATGACTACGATAGAATGACAGCGAGTCATCGAAAGAACATTTGAAATAGTACCCAGCACTGTATGCTTTATGATGTTGATACTTTGAAGTGGTTTTTGAAATTTTGGAATTACATTTCTCCAACTGCGATTCGAAATCAGCATAAATGATGAAAGGACACGTCTGCTTATACACATGGTTCTTAAATTCTACAAAATCATACTTGGGGAATGAAATTTTCTCATTATTAATTTTCTCACATAGAGCAGCATGACTATCAAGCTTCTCCTGACAATGATAATAGTTGAGGCACCGATCGCAGATGAATTTCTTTCTATAATTTTTGCTGAGTTGACTTGATACTAGTCGTGAAAGGTCCTTAATCCAGACATAGTGATATTTTATATTGACGTTCTCTTCAGCATTATCGTTGTCAGGAGGAGCTTCATAGTCATTCAAATTTGGGAAATATTTGTCCTGAATTAAAAGCAAATTAACGTGTCGATTGGATTTATGCTTTGTAAGTCTGGTGGGTACTACAGAGTAAAATGTTCGTTCGTTGACTTCTGTCAACTCTAACGCATAAACATTCACCGAAATAGCATTCATTTTTTCAAATTTTGTTATTTGGGGCAGCTTCATTGGTATGTCTAATCCTTTTATGTTCAAAATCTGTGAATAGTGAGGATAATTCTTAACTCTATTTGAATTTTTTTCAATGGGATGCAAACAACTGACTATGCTCCAAAAGAAGCATGCCTCATCATCATTTTGGACATTGATACAAGCATGCTTTCTCTCAATCTGCTCTGGTAATTTGATAAACGATGAGCCATTGCCCATTTCATATTTATTTATGGCCACCTCCAGAGAAATAATTTCGCTCAAGGCCCACCCGCTATTCTTCTCGGCAAATTCGCTAAGTTTATTGAGGATCACATCTAGCGCATTGATTTTGAACCAATCGGCTAGGTCCG